AATTGTTTGAATTATTATTTACAACTTATCTTTTAACAAAATTTTAGGGACTCAATTGTCATTAAATTAAAATTTTGGAATGTAAGGACTTTTTTAGTTTCTGTTTTAGTTTTTGAAAAATAAATTAACAAACTCATTTGAAAAAATGTTTTGAATTTAATTTTAAAAAACACTACATTTGATTATTAGAAAATATATTTTCTCTGTTTAAAGATATAAAATATTTTTTGAGGAGTTAAATTTTTAAAAATATAAGATATTTTTAGTTTTTTCAGGTATAATCATTATTTTTTTCTAATAGCACTCCTATTGATAATAACTTTATATTTATTATAGAATATTTAATAGAGGTAAATATGAAAGTATAATATTAATTTAAAAGTAGATAACTACTTTATTGCAAGTAAAATTCGATTAAAAATATTTTATATTTTTTAACAAAAAGAGTAGTTAGTTTGACTAATTTTTATCATAAATTACCACCACTAATGACCTGCAACCATTATTATTAGCATATTTTTTAATTTTAAAACTATATTTAAATCAACAAAACTAAACAAATTTTGATTTTATTTTATTTTAAAAATAATTTTAAAATCTATGCTACAAAATAATTAAAAAAAAAACAAACAAACAGGCTCTAAGTGAAATTTTTCAAAAGAAAACATGTTCCTGCCCCTTACTTTGGGACTCATTTTGTGGGCCTACCCCTCATTCATAAAGTCAAAAGTGTGATCCAAACAGCTAGCACCAGCCTAGAGGCTTAACCACTAAGGAAAATACACGCCAATATAATTATATATATATATATATATATATTGGTTTCATTGTCCAAAAATTTGGGGTATTTAATTTCAACTCTCGCAGCAAGGGATTATATTATCAATCACAATCACAATTTCACAAGTATTCCATATATTCTCTACATTTAAAAATATAAAATATTTTTAATTAAATTATAATTTTTAATAAAATAATTATTTATTTTTAAATTATTTTTTATATTTATTTCTATTAAATATTCTATAAAAATATAAAGTTATTTATCAATAGGGATACTTTTTAAAAAAAGTAATAATTATTTTTTGAAAGACTAAAAATGCCTTACATTTTTAACATCTAACTTTTTAAAAAATATCTTACATTTTTAAATAAAAAAGAATTTTTTTTATATATTTATTTAGCATGATTATATATTTTAGGATTCAAACTCAAGACTCTATCATAAATTGGTTAAACTCTCTCAATTAATTAAACCAGGCTGTCTTTATATATATATATATATATATAATAAATATAAACGAATCATGCTTAAAAGAAAAGAAAAAATTTTTTTTCTTTGTTACATGGGAGAGTGCGAACCTTTTACTTCAAATATATGAGAATTAGTAAGGCAATATAGGAATAACAATGGGTTAAAAACAGCCAGCGAGAGTTATGATCTCGTCTTTACAATATTAAAGTTGAAAATTTTCTTAAAAAAAAAAAGAACAGAGAGAGTTTACTATGACATTTGACAAATGAATTGTAAGAGTTATCCACAAATGATTACAAAGTTAAAAAATAATTTTGATTTTGATATTTTCTCTAATTAACATACAGGTTTTAAATGTTTGTAGTTATTTTGTTTACTGAAAAATATTTATAATTATTTTCATTAAAAACTTAATTATGCTTCTTTTTTGCATTTAGGGAGGACGGCAATAAAATCCTAAAATAAAATAAAAAATTATAATAGTTAAGTTTTTAACAAATTTATTTTGGTAAGTACACAGAGTAGGCTCTATTGGGTGTAGAGAATATCCCTTTTAAAAAAATGAAAGCAATCTATAAATCTCTCTAAGCCAAATTATTATATGCATAAAGGTTGAAATTTGAAATCTCAATCACTTATTTAATTACTGACAGCCACTATCATTTACGTTAATTTTATTTGGTAACAATAAATGTTTTTAAGAAAATAAGTTAAAATAGTGATTCAAATAGATGTACATAGACTAAGAATTATGTTTAGAATTTAGATATTTTATTTATAATTAAAACTCCTAAATTTACAATTATCTAAATTAATATTTATAAATTATTTTTATAAAAATTTATCAAAACTTGAATGGCATAAATTTTTTATTTTAAAATTTTATTATCATTTTTCCTTGCATTTATCACACATTATGCAACGCTTACTGACATTACATTGTCATGATGCAATGACAGGGAAAAAAGAAGCTAAAACTTGCAACTGGTTGCAATTTCATACCGAAAATTTTTTGGGGAAAAGACATTTAAGGACATTATAAACCGAATAAATACAATTAAGAAAAGTGAATTTTAAAATGAAAAAGACATTTTGTGTAAATTAATTCTTTTGGCTGGACAAAACTGTATATCTCTGCCATCACTGAAGCTTCCAGCATCAGCACGGAAGCCACTGCCCAGTGCCCACTAATATTGGAGTCAACTTTTTTTTTTTTGGGTCAAATATTGGAGTCAACTTTCAATCTCCCCTTCCCACCCAATACTCATCTTTTCAAACTTTTTTGGTATGGGTCCCCGATTTTTTTTAAAAAAATATTTTTATTTTCTAATACTCAGTTACAAATTTGTGAAGTGAAAAGATGAGTTTTAATTTTTAAATACTTGCTTCGATTTTTTAATCTTTGATTTGTTAATATCATCTTTTCATTTTGTATAAAGTAAAAATTTTCAAATAAGTTATCTATTTTTTCAACTGAATGTTGAATGTTTTTCCAAATTTTTCAGTACTCATTTTTCCACTTTTTATAAATTTTTTTGCATGAGTTGGCTATTTTTTTCAAACTGAAATTTGAAAATTTTACAACCATTGTTGATTTTTTTGATATCCATCTGTTCAATTTATAAAAAAAAATCAAATTAAATGAGTTATTGTTTTTTTCTATCTAAATTTCTAAAACTTATATACTTAATCTTATATACTCAAGGTATTTAATTTTAGTTAAATCAAGATATCTATGTCTATTATATATTAATTATTCTATAATAAATTCTTATTATTAATATTATTAATATATTAAAATTTATGTGTCTTGATTTGATTGAATAAAAGTACATTAAGTAGATAAGAGTAAGCACATAAGTCTTGCCCTTTTCAAAATACTATTATGGTGTATTTGAATATATGGGGATTTAAATTTAAACCAAATCTTTCATAATTTGGATACAAAAAAATCTTTAGATTTATTTTTAATCCAAATCCAAACTCATGATTGATCATAATTTTTGTTGTGATTTCAAATTTCTTTTAAACCTTAGTTAGTTGAAATTATAGATAGTCCAATCCTCTCTTGTTTTCTTTACATTTTTACTATCAGCACCTCTATCATTCTCTCCAATTCTCTAATTTCTTCTTTTTTTTTCTCTTACCGATTGAATAATAAATCCAAAAAAATAATTTTAAATATATAAATTTTAAATGTAAACTTTTAAATTTAAGATTTTAAATCTAAAATTTAAATTTGAATCCACTGATCCAAATGCTACCTCAACTTCTTTTAATACTCATCTTTTGGCTTTATAAATAGCTTCTATGTTAATTACCTAGCTCTTCTTATTTATTAAAGCTACTTTTGATCATTTTCAATACTCATTTTTTTCACTTTAAAATAACTTTCAAGTGAATTAGCTTTACAATAAGACATTTAAATTATAAATATAACTCTTTATTGATAATTAAATTTTTTTACAAAGTGAGAATCAAATTTGTCTGAACTAATATTTTCAATTTATTTTTAGAAAATTTTATTAAGGAGATATTTAATTGCCAATTTTGAAACTTTACTTTCCCTGCAAATTAAGCCTAGTCTAACAATAAAAATATAGGGAAGACGGAGGAGAATATTGAGGAAAGTATTTGAGAGAATGAAGGTTGAAAATTGTAGAAGAAAATTATTGTAAAATAAGACATGTAAGTTTTAAATATTTAGAAGTATAAGTTGTAAATAAATTCGCATTATATATTAACTTTTTCACATGGTTTTCAATAATCATTGCCCTATAAAATATTTTTGGCTGGACCTGTGATTTGTTTAAGAGACCTTTGTTGGTTGGACAATAGGAAAATTCCACAATCTTGACAAAACAAGTCAAAAAACAATAAAGTCATGTAAAGTACTAACAAAAAGATAAAGCCTGAACGGATGTAAAGTAATTGAATACTATTTTTTTCATTTACACAATTTAATTTTTTAGACCTGTTGCACAATTTACATTGAGACCTTATATAAGAAAAAACAATTGTCACACCATGTTAATGCAAAGTCTAGTTTTATCTTATTAATAATTATCTATTATTTTATCGGTAAGAATAATTCTTATATATATAATTAAAATTATTATACAATACATTTTGTAAGGAGGTATTTTATTGATGATATATATAAAAAGAAAAAAAGATATTTTTTGCACTTGTAGTTTTCATGTTTTGGCCTCTTCATTGAATTGACTTATGAGTATTGAGGGAAAATGAAAGTTAAGGTCCAAACAAGATGAATAAATGATAGTTTTATTTTCCACAAAATTTTCCAAAACAATGAGTTGCAAATAAATATTGATTTAAATACTTATAAGTAGGCTTAGTTACAATTTAATAATTATTTAAGTTAATATTTTTAATTTGTTTTACAAAAAAAATTATTGGAATCTTTTCTTGTTAGCGCAATATTATAAACTATTTTTTTGCTGACAATTCCACAGAAAGAATATCAGTTATGTATACAATAAATGTTTTTTTAAAAATAAATTATAAGTATCTATTTACATAGTTACAAATTCAAAAGTTTTAATTAGAAATAAAAAATTTAATTTTAAATATAAATATCAAAATTCATGTTTAAAATAAATTTTTTTGTAGAATTTATTTTTCTGTCAAGGTTCTAAACTTCTATTTTCCCCCCAATAGAGTCTAACTTTTAATATTAATTTAATATATCAGAACTTACTTTAATGTCATTTTCCCGGTTCAACCCCGTGGACTCAAGTGTCATTGTCTCTGCGTAACGAGCACAGCTACATGCTCCCTCTATCTGTGACCCTCGCCTCCAAGCCTGTCTTTATACATTCACACTTGAAGCTTCAGATCTATCAATCCTGTTCTCTCATCCGGTAAGTCCAGCTTTTCTTTCTTCTCAACGATTCCATCTCGTGAATTCGAATTTATTGATCCAAGTACTCTTGCTTATTCTTCTTTACTCCTCCTCTTTTCTGTGTTATCTCTAGGTTTATGCTTTTTCCCCCCCTGTTTCGTTAATTGGTTTTGATTTCTTCATTTATTTTCATTTTTTCCGTTCTGTTGGATTATGATGATTTTTCATTGCCAGATTGTTACTGTCAGTATCCAGCACCAATGAATTTTAATCCTTTTGCGATAATTTTGATCTTTTTGTTCGACAAATCTTTCTAGTCCAACATCTCCGTAGATCTCGTCTCTATGATTGTTTTCGATCCTTCCACTCTCTCGTTTCAATTATCTGATTAGGGCTTGGCTGGAGATTGGAGATCGTTAATTAAACATTCTGGTGGCGAGCGAGAGGGAAGTAAAATGAGGGATTGATCGGCGAGTAAGGGAGTGGCATATGGAGTTTGATTCCAAATTATGGAAATGATCTTTGGCCTTTCTGCTATGTTTTCCTCTTTTAGGAGAACTAAGTTGTACACTTTTTCCCACTTCTTGTGACAGTTTATCGAATATGACTTCTTATTCCTTGTGGCATCAGAAACTCTATTTATGAAATCAGTAATATTGGTTTTCCTTGTGTTTATTCAGTTATTTGGATGGATTGTTTGTCTTAGTATTTGCTGTAAACTAAATCTATGTCCCTTCAAAAGGCATAATTTTGAAGCTTTACATCGTTTTGTGATTGTTGAACGCTTGAAGCTTGAATTCCTAATGTTTATACTTACATTCTAAATTTTTTAGTAGTGGAACAAGATTTGCTTGAAGAAGAGATCTTTTTCCCACTTCCTGTGACAGTTTATCAGAGAGATCGCATTGTAAAATAATATCTGAACGTTCTTTCCAGTGTAAGTGTACTTTATCTATCCTTTTCTTTTGGAATACACTAGGGCACTTATACAGTCAGGTCCCATAATAGAGAAATGCCGGCACGGCTGACCTTTGTTGGGCGTATATCATATGAAAGCCAATATCACATGCCTATAGAGTATAGACACATGCGCCCGAACCAAGCATAAGCATAACTGTTGTTTTTTGTTATATATCCACAGGTTATAATAGTATAGGAGAGTAAATGGCCTTGGTGACAACTGCTGAAGTATGTGATGCAAATCCTCAATTAATTTTGAGTGGGGAGCTTCGTGCCCTTCAGCCAGTATTTCAGATGTACGGTCGTAGGCAGGTGTTTTCTGGACCTATAGTTACCCTGAAGGTGTTTGAAGACAATGTGTTGGTTCGTGAGTTCCTTGAAGAAAAAGGTAATGGTAGAGTTCTTGTTGTGGATGGAGGTGGGAGTTTGAGGTGTGCAATATTGGGAGGCAACCCTGTAGTACAAGCACAAAACAATGGATGGGCAGGTATAGTTGTGAATGGATGCATAAGAGATGTGGATGAGATTAATGGTTGTGATATTGGCGTGCGAGCTCTTGCTTCGCATCCCATGAAAGCCAACAAGAAAGGCATGGGAGAAAAGAATGTTCCTATTACTATTGCTGGCACGAGGATCTGCGATGGTGAATGGCTTTATGCAGACACTGACGGGATTCTCATCTCCCAGGCCGAGTTAGCGGTCTGATTCCACTCCATAACCATGCTTTAAGCTGGGCCAGGGGCTGCTGTTGCTTTTTCTGCTGTACTTTTTTGGTCTTGTTCACCCAAGTGACCTTGAAAAAGTGAACTCTTACACGGCCACAATAGATTGAAGTATTTCCGTCTTCTACCATTGTGATCTATGGTTTTGATTGGTGTTATGAGAACCTGCCTTTAAATTTATGCTTGCTTGTTTTTTGATTTGGTTCTATGGATTCTGAGATCCATCCTGTGCCAATCAGAATTGATTTATTAAAATGACCCAAAAATAAAATACTATTGGTAATATGCAACTGCGAAAAGATCTGGGGCTGGAAACCAATCAAAACATTAAGCCATGGTAAGTTGGTTGGATGATATTACAGGAATAAAGAGACTCCTTCCTTCATTTGTCTCCACCAGTAAGCTAGAAAGCTTCATGAAGCTGCCTGCCTTGAAGACACTTCAAGTAAATCCCACAAAGTTGACTGTTATGGTGGTCAACTATGAAATAGAAGTTGCGAGGATGTTGTAATATGTTACTGTTTTTATGTTCCTAACTATTAAATAGTGAGTGATTGCAATTCTCAATGGTGGATTCATAACAGTCCTAATCATTTACCGAGATTTTTTAGTTATTTGATTTGATACGTCTGAATGTGTGATTCATGCCTCTATATTTCAAATTGTTGTGTCTTGTGATTGTTGGAAAGCCCAAATATAATAACACCAAATTAAATGAATGATGGGTACTTAAATGGGATGAAAATTTCTCCCTTAAAAGCTAGAAGTTGAGATGGGAGGATAAATTCACTTAAATATCTTATTGGGTATCTTATAATACTCATTGTGAACTTGGTCTCTCATATGACCAAGTTTTTATCAATTGGATCTCATAAAAAGTCGGCATCTAAATAATTGCACTTTATGACATTTAATTTGGTCTCCTATTGTTCAAAACTCTCTATAGTTATCCCTCTTTGAAGCCACCGATAACTAAGTTTTGGCACTAATTGATAGATATTTAAGTGTAATGAGGAACTTTACCTTAAAAGCTTGTTGTTAAAATGGGATAATTAATCCAATCACATTGAGCATCCCATAAGTTGGCATATTGTACTACCAAGATTCTATCAATGAAAAATATGTTGACCTTATAATGTAGGGCAAATGATAGAAAAATTCCTATGAAATATGGGAATCCCAAATTAGGATCTTGAAATCGTCTAATCATTATGAAGCTTTAAGGCACTTTTCCAGGATTATGTTTTTACATGAAATTATCTTTCTAACTCTTCGCATATAAAGAGAAAATAAATTTGCAAAAGCTGAGTGTGTCCAAGAAATTTGCAAAAGCTGGTAGAGAAAAGTTTTGCTGGAGTTGCTAAGCTCAAGCATCTGTGTAAAGATAAGGTATATTGTGGCTAAATTTGTTTATGGCTATGAACAAACCGATATGTGAGAAGGTAAGTCATGTTGTGCTATATACATGTACTAGAAACGACACCACCAAAAAATCAGGCAAAGAGACAAAAATTAAGGTATGTCTAAAACTATAATGTTTCTACACTCCAGGTAATTGAAGATCCTAATATCTAAGTTATCATGAGATGTATGATGGACAAGCATATCAGCACATCTACTTGTTTTTCTCAAAACATGGTTGAAAGTAATCATGTAATCATTCATGATAAAATCCTTGTTTTTTTTTTTGTTGTTGATAATTTTCAAGAATGAATGTCTTTTAGAAGAAACTACATAATTAAATCCTTTGTTTTGTTCATTGTTTTAAGAACCATATCGAATGATAATATCAATTGTACTGTCAACCAAAATCATTAATGACTTGATTTAGACCAAAAAAACCATTTTTATGGTTGAACCAGGATGGACAAGTTGAGCCACTAGTGAATTTAAACTAGAGTTGAGTTGGAAATTGGGATGATTTTCAAAAAACTAGATGATTGTAAACATAACATAAAAGTATTAATATGTAATTTGGATCTTAAACTATAGGTCCAAGGGTAATTTGAACTCTAAACTTGTCTTTGGTGCATTTTGAACTCTAAAAAATTAAATTTAGGATAATTTATTTTCCACCATTAAATTAAAATAAATGAATGTTACTTAAAAAAAATATGAGGACTGACGTGCAATTTTCTTCAAAGGTGAGTAAGAGAGAAAGGAAGAGAGAAATTTGATTAAAATTGTACATTATGCCCCATTTTTTTAAAACATAATGGATGTTTGTTTAATTTAACTGTAGGAACAAAATTGCTCTAAATTTATTTATTTAGAGTTCATAATGTAGCAAATATGAGTTCATAATTAAAATCATCCTTAGATCTATAACTTAAGATCCAAATTGCAAATTAACCTTAAAATAAAAAGGCTAAATTTTTTTTTAAAATGTTGACAAATTAAAAAAAATAGACCCAACTAAGAACCAACTTCATTATTTGATCACATGTAAACAAAATGATATATGATTATTTTTCAAGGAAGATGTTGACAACTATCAATACAAATGCACACATTCTTTTAAACTTATTCATGCCTGATTTAACTAAGATGCATCTATATTTAAAAATTTATAAAATTATAATTTATAATATTATTGATTTATAATGATATTATTTTATTCTCTTGATAGTTAGACATGTTGTGGATTTATTTGTTATGTATATATTTTACAAATACATTTAATATTAATTTTTAGTTAATTGTTATGTTACATGTTCGGATCTAACCGATTAGATTATGAAAATCAAGAATCACTTATCTTTACAATTTAACATCCAATCTAGCTTTTAAAATGTTGATTTTATCATGATATTGGATGAGGAGACTGAAAAATGCACATGTAGTTGGCAAAGCTACAGTGATTATCTACTTTTTGTTTATATTTATTTACTGTTTACATTCCCCCCCCCCCCTCTTGAAGCACATTCTAAAGAAGTAAACATTACCTTCTCCACCTTTGTCATCTAATAAATTATCTCTTCAGGTTTCATTTCATTATCGTTTGAAATAATCAGATTATCATGTGCGTGCCAGCAGCGACTCCATATTCACTGCGCAAGGGCTGAATTCAACTTCTAGATTAGTGGCCGTTTGACTTCGAACTAGGTGATGGCTTAAACAATGGCCATTCGACGAATCTTATCTTTGCCTTCATATATTTTTTTTTTTGAAAAAAATGACAATTAAAAAGCTCATTAGAATATTAATGACAATTATTATTAAAATCTCAATAACACACTATAATCTTTACTTACAATAAATTATCCTTTGTTAATTGATTTGAGATTTTTAAATAACTTTAATAAATTTTCAACTAATGTTACGAAGATTCATAACTATCATTTGTTGATTTCTTAAGTGATAACAAAAATGATTGATTTATAATTCACAACTGACTTTTTAATTCCAAATGACGTTAGAAATAATTTCAAATAAATTCAATGGATTCCCCAAATGATTTATTTAGGTATTGATAGCAAAAAAAATCATAAATAATTGGTTTGCGATTCACAATTATTTTTCATAAATTTACAATTAATGTTATAAATAATTTTAAGTGTATTTACTTAATTTTTCAAACAGTTTATCTATATATTGATAGCAAAAAATTAAGATTTATAATTGATTCTCGTAAATTCTCAATTGATGTTACAAATAATTCAAAGTATATTTAATAAATATCTCAATTAATTATTCACATTTTTTAATTGTAAATAAAGACCATAATTTATTATTAGGATTTTAATGATTCATGATATGTAATTGTCATTCATGTTTTTATGGGGTCCTCATTTGTCATTTTCCCAATTTCTTTGATATCAATTTATTTGACATTTTAGAATTAAATATTTTATAACCTATCATTTATTCTGGCTTTCTAAAATTCAATACTTTATAATTTATCAATTTATTTTAAATTTTTAAAATTAATTTTTTGTAATTTATCAGTAGATTTAATTTTTTTAATTTACAAATAATACTTAATTATATAAGAATCTTTTAAAAAAAATTTTAATTTAAGGTTTAATAATTTTTCTTAAAAAATAAAATTAGTCAAACAAATATATATCATTAAATTTATGTTCTTTTTTGTCATTATACATTTAAACTTTTTTTTTTGCATTATATTATCCAAATAAGTTTTTGTTTGTTAAACTAACTTAAAAAAAAAAAACAGTATCCAAACATAAATTATATTATAATCGTCAAATTTTATCTTAATTTTAATTTGAAAATTTCAATTGCTTCTAACTTCAATTTTACAACTTTTGATCCAAACATATCCTAAAATCGCTTAGCTAATGACAATTGAGTTGGTAAAATTTTCTTTTCAATCAATGTTCAAGTTAATGGCTCCTTGTATGTAATAACTATTTTCTGATAAACAAGTGACTACTTTATTTAAGCCAATGGCTGTAATCGCTTAGCCAAATTGACAACTTAAGTTCTTGAAAATTTTTTCATGAGAGTTAATGGTTCCATGTATGTAATAACTATTTTAGATAAATCAGCGAATACTTTATTTAAGCCAATAACTATAATCGTTTAGCCAATGACAATTCCTTTGAGTATTTCTTTCTCTTATTGTTTAGATGGTTAGAAGGGTAATCTTACAAAAAAAAAAAAAATTATGCCGGAAAATTCATTAACATAATTTGTGGTGCAGTTCTATTATATTTGCACATGACCTTAGAATCTTGGAGATGGACAAGGGGTTTTATGGATATTAACATGATTTATATATAATATTTATTATATTATTATTACTGTGCAATAGTATTTTTATTCTAGAGATAGAAATATTATTTTATCATATTTTTAATCTATAAAATTACAATAAATATTTTGAGATATTCTTTCTATCTATCTATCTATGTATATAAAAAATAAACTCATTAAATTAAACTATTTATAACTCCTAAATAAATAGCCTCCTTTAAATTCTTATCAATAAAATGTACTAAATAAACAACTTTATTGATTTAATATTTGTAAAAATATAAGTATGACTTTCTGAAATTATTTAAGGGGTCAATAATAATAGCATTAGATATTTCTCCCCTTTTTTCCCCTTAGATGTTTTCCCTTCACAAGATAGCTTTTGGTATTATTAACTCTAAAATGTTATAGCTTTCTCATGTAACCTTAGGTAGGACAAGTTGAGAGTTGTGTCTTGCATCTGTTTTGAACAGTCTCCATTTTACAGTAGTGGAAAAGCTCATTGAGGTACCTACTTATGCTTCTACTCAACTTAATCTCCTCTTGCGGGAGCACATTTGGGAGTGCTCATCAAATTTGAATAGTTTAGATTTAAAGTTTTTTATTTTTATATTTATCAAAATAAAAAATTATAAAATTTTTAATACATATGCCCATCATTAATATGGGTTATTTAGATTATCCTAGTCTAATATTAATTTTTTAATAATTTTTATAAATTGATTATCTAAATTTACTTTGGGTGATTCAGATTTAATATTAATTTTTTTATAATTTTATAAATTTTAATTATGGTAGATAAAATATTAAAATAAAGGTAATTTCTCAATTAGCACTTTCTAATTTTTTTTAAAAAAATTACAAGTTAAAATATGAATTGTTCAAAGTAAATTTAAATAGTCAATTG